AAGAAATACTAAAGCTTAAAAATGACGTAAATAAAGAAGAACAGCTTAAAAAAACTATAGAGAGCTTGGAAAGTCAGATCATAACAGTTTCACCTACAGAATCAACAGTTAAAGTTGATTGCTTAGAAGATGTTAACAAGCCGACTTTGGATATGTTTTTTGGCGGTCCTGGCGCAACAGAGTTCGAAAAATTAGTAATGTCTCAAGTCTCTGATGAACCAATAGTAGAGGAATTAATTGTACCCAAAACAGCATATGTTTGTCAACCTAAAGAAACTGCTATACCGACTATACCTATTCCAGAAGACTTGGGTGACGACTGGGGTGATAGTTGGGCCAATAATGAAGCAACTGCGGAGGCGGCGCATTTCCTTGCCAAAACTGACACAAGTCCCCACAATGTAACTTCATTGGTGTCACATGAGCAACGATTAGAAATACAATTACAGGATGCTACTGAGCAAATACAGCATTTAAAACTTGTACTTGAGAGCTCTGAGCAACAGAAGCAAGAATTACAAGCTAAGTCGAATAAATTAATTAAAAAACTTAAAGAATATAAAATTAAAATGGACGAGGTACAGCAATCACAAACCGCAAATGTCTTTAGAAAGTCAACGTCAGTTGATTCAAATTCAATGTTCAATGACTTGGATGCAGCAATACAAGAAGAATTAAGGAATCAAATAACAAAGCTGGAGTCGAGACTTGAGGAGCAGCACAAAGTCCTAGAAGGCAATGCAATTGAAAAAGATAAGCTATTAAAACGGATAGACGTACTAACTGCAGGCACTGATCGTATGTCTGAAATGAAGGAACGTCAAGATATGGACTTGCAAATGTACCAAATTCGAATAAGAGAACTACAAGAACAATTGAATAAGTTAGAAGAATGGGGCGATGACACCGCAAAAGCTGACAAACCTTTAGAAAGTAAAATACCATCAGGTGTTGAAATCATCGATAATCCAAATGTCTCATCTATTGATTTTGAGGCTGTAAAACTTGAAATGAAGCAGAAAATTGAAAAACTCACAGTAGAAATTGAGGACATTACCGGCGACAAAATGGAAGTGGCAGCATTGTTGGAAGAAGAGAAGCTAAATGTAGTCCGAGCTGAAGAAACCATACGTCTGCTACAACAACAACTTTCTACATTGGAGAATGCAAATGTCGGCAAAGAAGTTTTACAAATTTCCCAATACAATGATTTAAAATTGTTACATCAAGATGTGCAGAAAAAGTATAACAGTTTAGTTGAAGACAACTCCAAGCTAAAAGAAGAATTGGTCCAAATAAATGACCAACATCGAAACCTCTCAAGTACTTTGCTGCAGAAAGAAAATATCATACACGGGTTGAGTAACAAAATTGAAAATTTGGAACAAACAATAAAACAGAGCGATGCGGATAAAAATAATTTGGAAACTCGATTAACTGACTTAAACAAACAACTCGAAGAACTTACGGTCGAGAAACAATTGCTAAGTAATCAAATTTTGGAACTACAAAAGGAAAACATTGCCCTGCAATTAGCCGGTAATAACGGTAGTAGTACGGAATTTAATAACAACGATGAACTCACAGTGCAGCTGCAAGAGAAGGATTCGGAAATTTTGCATTTAAGACAACGCATTGAAGACCTTATGCGCGAAGATCAGACAGAAAAGCTCGTTTTAGAAATTTTGACGAAAAACCAAGAAATTCAATTGCTTAAAACACAAGTAAAGCAATTGGAAGAAGAAAGGATTGAAATGGAAAACAATTTGTCACTACAAATAACACAGGGAATGCAGGCGAGCAAACATAATGAAGAAGAGGTTAAAATGAGAGAGGAGATTCTGATGCTTAGGTCAAAAATAGAAACAGTTGAAGAGGAGAAATGTAATATGGAAGAGGAGTTGAAGGTGTTGAATAATCATGTTATGATGAGTTTGGAACAGGAAGATAAAACAAAAGCGGCCCTATTAGAGATGGACTTAAAAGAAATCGAAATAAAAGAGCTCAGAAAGACGATAGCTGCTATTACCAAAGCTGAGAGTGAAGTTTCAGCAGGAAATGCCAAAAGTAATGAAGTTGACTTTATTGCTTTGAATGCACAATGGGAAGCCGTTGTTGAACAGAGGTGTAGTGAAATAGCACAAATGTGGCGCGAGCACATGGAAAAAAGGGAAGAAGAATTTAGAATTATAGAAGTACGTTTACAAGAAGAAATTGCAGAGCTCCAAGATACTCAGAGTGTGTCAAAGTTACCAAAACAGCAAAGCTTATCTACTGAGACTACAGTAAGTGATTCAACTAGTGTTTCCGCTAGTTCTTCGGCAGCACCCTCAAAGGAAGGAACACCATTACGCAACCGTATAATAAGTGACGAAAGTGTTACCGTCAATGGTAATATAATTGAAAAAATGCAAACGGCCTTAGAAAGTCAAGAAATGGAAATCGTAACTCTTAAAGAGCAATTGGCAATTAGATCTGCTGAATATGCTCGCCTTGCAGCTCAGTATGATCCTTTCAAATTACAAACAACTTTATCACACAGCGGAATGTCGACAATAACAAATACGCCCACTGCAGATTCAACAATCGCGCGACGTGGAGTAAGTGACGCTTCTTTAGTTCCAAAATCAGAGTTAGATTTTGCGCTGTATATGCTTCACCAGAGAGATGTGCGGTGTGATGAGATGACTTTAGAGGTTGTGTCATTACTTGAAGAACGTGATACATTGCAATTGAAACTCTCAAATACTCTACGACAACTTGAAGAAATTAAAGCCCAAACAAGTGCAACAGACGGTATGCTTATAAATTTATTTTTTTTATTAAATCTTTGCTTATAAATACTTACCATTATAGCTAACACAACTCAGATGGACTCAACAGCACTTCTGTCTAGTGAAAGTCCAGTGAAATTTGCAGTCACAAGCCCGATTGTAACAGATTCAGTCAACAACCTAAATCAAAAGTAATTCTCAAACCCTTTCCCAAAAATTAAAGCAACACTCAAATTTGCTCAATATTCTTTTCAAGATTATCCGAACTACAGACAGTTAGCCATTCCAAAGACAAGGTAATTAAAGAGGACCGTGATCAACGCATCAGACAAATGGAGAGAATTCAACAAGACCTTGCTAAAATTCCACCTGCAGCTGTTTCTGAATTAGTTGGAACTGACTTATGTAAGTATAGAATATTTTTAATTCTAGATAATAGATAATTTATATATTTCAATTCTCAATCGAGAACAGCTCAATCGAGTCAGTCTCCTTCATCGGTGCTTCTTAACTGGCTGTGGGGAAACAACCCAAACAATAATGCAGGCGCAACTTCTAATTAGATAAAATGAAAAATTTAAATTTAATAAACTCACTTCGATATTTAAGATATTTACCGATATCCTGACAATTGTGTTAAAATTAGATATTAAATAGATTATTAAATTTAAAAAAATGTCTAGTTTCTCCAAAAGTCCCAATGAAGAATTCCAAGAAATATATTAAGTGTGTGGAGTACCTAAGCAGCAAATTATAAATTTTTAGTGTGTAATAAGCGAATAAGTGTATATTATATATTTTCGATTCAACAATTTATTGATTTGTTTTATACATAACATATTAGCTTATATTATTAGTGTGTATTGTATATATGTATGAATTTTAAAAATAAAATTTTTGTTAATACGTATACAGATGCTTTTTATTACTTAAGACATTAACAAATGTCGGAATCACTACTGACTTGTCATGGTTTGATTAGTGATAAAAGGCTATTTGGAATTTCAGACTCTAACGAATATCAACTGTAAGTTGAGAAAAAAAAATTTATATTTTTTGGAGTATAAGGAATAATTAGCAATATCGTAAATTATATTGCATCCATAGATCCATAGTTTTCCGAAATTTGACAATTACTATCGCAAAGCATTCCTTAAAGGGCTTATTACAATGAATAATGTTTATTTCTGAAATTCCGTGATGCCAGCTGAACTACAAACTTTTTGTAACGAATAATTTTTTGGTGACAATAAATTTGAATTTGAATTTATTTAAACATATATATTGTCTAATGCAAGATAATCTTTTTTTTTATTTTTCAGTATATTTATGCATTGAATTTAATAAAAATAAATATGTACTTTTAAGAAAATTATGGTATATACAATATTAAAATTATTTTTAAAAACTTTTATCACAAAACTAGATAAATCTCGTTTTTTATTGAATTTTTAATAGATGTTAAGATACAAGGTGTCAACGAGAAATATATCTAACATAGAAACCTTTAGTCAAAAGAGCCAAACTATTTCGAAATTGTTCATTTAGACAGCTAATGTCATAGACCTGTTTGTAGTCAATTCGAATATTATATTAAAATGTCAAAATATTTTAATCCTTTTTTATATATGATTACCTTGCTTTTAGAATATTTTTCCTCGATAAATAAATAGTAACATTTTGTCAAATCGCATGATTGCTAAGACTAAAAATTCGTCTATTATGTATGATTCTTGAAGGTATGTACAAAATTTCCAGTTAACTGTCAACAAATATTTGAGAAGTAATACTCAATTCTTTTTAATTTAGTGAAATTAAAAAATTCTTTTTAATTTACTGAAATTAAAAACTCTTTTTAATTTACTGAAAATAAAAAATTATATTCAATTATTGAAAAAGCCTGAAAATAAAATTTTTATTCACAATTATGTAAAAAATAATATATTCTAAACCCTAATTGCAAAGAATTATTTATTTTCGAAACTTTAACTTTAAATTATATTACGTATTTACATATATAAACCCAACAAAATTCCCGGAGTAATGCTTATTTTATGTTATTCTTTTGCAACATGCTTTCAAAAGAAAAGTCCCAATGTAATCATTGATTTTAAAATGTTAAGTTATTTAGAAAGACATATAGCAATGAGTAGGTTTGATTTGAGGAGAATTAAAATAAATAGCGACCAAGTTCCGGCTAACTTTATCCGCCGGTAAATCAAAAACATATTAATTAACATTTACATACTCTTATTTAACGATAAGGAGATGGAGTCTTGAGTTGAGACCACGAACTCATTGTTATTTCAGACAATAATTGTTTACTCTTGTAGAAAAGAACTGGGTGCCAATATGCTATCGTATATCAAATTGAGACATATGTTACTAATTACACGATTAAAGTTACTAACTTGTGAGCAAAACAGCAATCTCTATCTAAGCATCTAGTTACCGAAGCTATAAGCGAACTATTGTGAATCTTGATTGGAAATTCGACGAATATTTCAGTCATATGTCAAAAGTTTGTAAAAATGTAAACAAAATTAAAAGAATTTGACGAATTTGAAAATTATGTAAACTTATGAAAAAGAAATATTTAAAAAAAAAATTTCACACGTAAATAAATATACACATAAATTTATATGAGTACATGAAAAAAGTATTGTTGAAAACCGCTTTAAATTTTTAAACTTATTAGTTACTAACAAGTTAATACTTATTAAGGCATAAATAGTGAAAACTTTTATAAATATTGTTATGAAAGGAAATTTCAAAATTTCCTGCATTCTTAACATTGCTTTAAATTTATTATTTATATTAATTTTAAACCTTAGCTTAATTATTTATTTTTAGAGAAAATGTAATTTGCTTGCATTATATGCATTATATTTTGCGAAAACATAAAATTTGACGGCTTTGCAACAGTGATGCCAATATTTCTCTTAGTGCCTATAATAAGTAACTGGTCGTTTGCCACACTTAAAAGCTGTCGAAAGCACCTATATATAATATATATTTTTTGCTAATATATATGTTTTTTAAAGAAGGTTTCTTTTTTTTTATAATTTTTTTACATAGTAAAAATAGGTACATAATTTCATGAAAAAAGCAATAGTTTTTAAACTCATCTTTTTCTGAAACCAACTAAGGTAAAAAAACAAATATAAAAGGCCAGTAATTAGTAAAGATTTACTCGTGTCGTTTAAATTAGGATGCGGTTTAATTTAAATAAAAGGGAAATTTTATTATTTCATGCACGAGGTTAAGCATTTCAACAAGCAGAATACGTGGCAGCGTTATCAGCAGCTGCTTCTCGTTTCATACAATTTTGTTTCACATGTGTTTTGCGATATGTCAACTGCGTTCTCATTCTTTTCCTACAACTTGACGTGGACGGTAGCGTCGCGGGAAGTGCTTGTGTGTTTGCGAATTTAAATTAACCGACCGGTAAAAACAATAACAAAAACTATTCGATAAGGAAAAAAGCACCGTCAATTTTGTTAATCACATTAACTTAAAAATAAGGAATAAAGCACGAATTGTAAATTGTTAACTTAATTAAAGTGTCTAATGTTTAAACAATAATTATAAAAAGAAATATATAAATTGTATTTAAAATTTCGGCGTAGAAGTGTAATAAAATTTCTGTTTTAGTAGTTAAACTTAGTTTTGTAACGCATTGTAAAATTATAATTTTGTTTAAAAGTAATAAAGTAATCCTTAAAAATTAGCGATCGCCAAGGGAGACTTATCCCATATGAAGTGTTAGAAATTGCGCAACACGAATAAAGTTAAAAATTAATTGAATGAAATTTGGCAACATCGTTAAAGGCCAGAGAGATATTCGCATTGCTCTCTTTAGCTGACTAGGACTCTTCAAAGGAACTTTAGTCTTGCTGGTTTTTATATTGTTCGAAATTAATACAGAGGGCATTGATTGTTTGTGTTTTGCTAAAATTACAAAATTTTCTATTGCATGTCTGTAGTTTTAAAGTGCATAATAAAATTTATAATTAAAAAAGTAAACGAAATTAAATAAAATAAAAATAAAAATTAGATTCGGTTTTGGATTCCGTGTGCATTACGCAGCTGCAATATGGACCTCTTGTGCACTGAAAATATTATGAACGTAAATGAAAATGAAATCGTTTGTAGTAAACAAATGCAAGAACAAGAAGAATTGCAGCAGCGCAAATTAGAAAGAGTGCTCCAATATCAACCCGCGATCGCCCAACAAATTTCTGCAGTGTATGTGAATCCCTCGCCAACACAATTGGGTGCAAATTTGACTACAAATATCCCATTAGAATACGGTTATACGTCTGTTTGTGAAACCACAAAATGTGTTGAATGCTGTCAATCGCAATCAGCAAAATGCATTGGGAACCATGCATCTGCCACAGCTGCTGTTGCATGCGTTACAGATGTATGTACGGTTTCCGATACTACAGCAGCAGTTCAAACCGATCAGGTGACTACTAATAGTTATCAGGAGGAGGTTTATTCAACCAATTTAATAAACCGCACAATAGACTATGTTAACACTGCCACAGAGGATCCTACATTCCTCACAGACCGCTGTCTCGAAAATGCACTCAAAGCAGAGGAAAAGCGTCCACAGTCTGTTTGCACTTATTTCGTGACTGTGCAGCAAGACATAACGCCACCCATGCGCAAAATAGTCGCAGAGTGGATGATGGAGGTAATTACTTTATACATAAATATATAATAAAATAACTAAAACCTATCAAACAATAGACAATAGAATAGAATAGATTTAAAGCATTATATTAGACCGTACATGTGTTCTTGCAGTGTGTGCGTCTTATAAGTAAGGTTAGGATTCAGCACTAATTTATCCAGAGCTGTTCGAAACAGCGCTTACATACTAAATCCAGAGCTGTGCGAAACAGTGCTTACATACTAAAAAAAAAATGAATACAATTTCTTTCAGAAATTAACTGCTGCAATCACCAATCACCCTTTTACCCTGTGTTATATAAATCGACGCAACCGCTTCAAGTGCATTAAAGTGATATGTACATTTGTAGTAGTCGCCAGCTTTACATCTGAATTAATGATTAGTCTATGTATGACGAATGCCACAATAAAGATAAAATTAAAACAATATTTTAATTGTTTTTCTCATTAAATATGACAATTCGTTAACACTCGTACATGCACGTATGTGCATGTTACATTGTAAAAAACACCGCTTTTTAATCTAAACGTGGTACGAAATAGTAATCCAATATTGTTAACAATTCGGTGCGCTGCCGCTTACCGGAAAACCCATCCTAATTGTTTCTTAGCCAGTCTAGTATTTTTTCTGACGTTTGAAAAATCGTCAATCGTCAGCAAATTTAACAGGCGCCAGACCTTTGAGCACCTTTTTAAATTGAACGATCATTTAATAACAATAATAATATTAAATATTTATAATTTCAGAAGCACATTTCAGAAGTATGTATATTTTCATGCCAAAGCTATTAGAATAACAAGTTATATTAACAAAATGCTAGAGTTTGCGTGGTTTGCCTTAGTAGTTGTCTTATATGAGTAACAATTGCCTCATGTTTTCGCTTTTCTAATCTTATCGGCTGCAGTACAGTATGAGCTTCTACCGACTGACTTCTATATCAAGATGCTTGTACATATGTTTGCATAAGTTTACTGTGTATGTGGGTTAATTATAATTAAGTTTTATTAATAGTAAATTATTTATACTTTTCAAAATTATAAACTGTATATAATATCAATGTTAAAAGGGCAAACAGCTATATATCTTTTATACTCTTGCTTAAATTTCATAATTGACATTATAATTTTAAGTATAAGTATTTATTCTTTTTTGTCTTGATGAAGTAGAATTACGGTATAACTATTGGAAAAGTTTTTACACACGTTAATATACCTTGTGCAGAATATGAAATATATATGTGGTTCAACTGAATCACACGTCATATGCATCATGTGAATTCAGTCCCAATGAATATACCATTATTGCTTTAAATTGAAGTTAAAGTCTATTACTATTGTAACCCATTATAAGATCCATTTAGTGACGACTAGATGCAAATTCAACCAAATTTGATCGTCGTTTTTGATGAATGCAGATAGTTATTTATAAACTTGTGACATTTTTTTATAAGTATTTTAATAAAGGTTAGACCAATATTATATATATTATTCTTGAGAATTCAGAGTAATGAAATGGATTGATTTAAATTTTTCTCCTCAACTTCAGTGAAGATATGTCTTTAAAGTAATTTTCGGTTTTATCTTATCACACAAAATAATTCATATACCATTAATGTTAAATAAAATCAGGTGAATAATTTGCATCGTTCTGGATAAAAGTTACATTGACGCGTGACAGTCAAACTCTTGAGTGTCGTATTAAACACGTAACTTAAATCTTGACAAGATTTTGACATAAAAAAATGACATTTCAAATATTTTCTCTTCAACGTACCAGTAAATTTCGGTTAAAAAGTATATCTCACTTATTTTTCAGTTTTTAATTAAAATATGTGTATGAATATGCGGTCAGATCAGCAAATTCCACAGGAATGTGGTTAACATCAATAACTTTGAGAAAATGTATTTTTGCTGAGTATTTAAATAAAAATTCCAAGAACAAAAGTAAGCAAACGAAACAGAAAATACTCGTAAAATTTTTTGAAATACAGTCCTCGCTTATCACTTTCGGTAAGCATTGAAAAAATAATAATGAAATTATTCTATGCAAAACACATCAATGGGATGTGGTATAACGTGTTGCACTCTAATTATCCAGCAATTAAATGGTTATTTAACATTTTCATATACAGCTTATGTTCGATCTGTTACGGCAGATAAAAATGTTCAATGCGTCTGAGAGACAATCTAACACAATGTAATTTCAAAATGGAGTAACACTAATAACTTGATTTGAAATAGGTTCAGAAAAAATAACGCATGTCATACATATCATAGAACAACTAAATATCATTAACATCATCTACGATGCTGACTGCGATCAGTG